TTTTTTTTTTTTTTTTTTTTTTTTTTTTTTTTTTCGGAGCGCGATCTTTTAATGGGGGTTTTGATTTTCGGGAAATCAAGTTTCCCTTCCCTCCCCGAGGCCTGGGGTTTGTAGGGCCCGGAAACCCCACCCGGCCCGACACCCCACCCCCCCACTTCGCCGCGGGCAGGGGGCGGGTTAAGAAAGAGGGCCATCCGGCACCCCCATTTCGCCAGCCCCAAGGGCGTTCAAGAAGAACGAATGCCCGGGGGAAATAAGGTCGATACTTTTTTTTTTTTTTTTTAACGCGCGATGGGGTTTCCATTCGTGGGGGTGCAAAGCGGGGTTTTTTTTTTTGTTCTTCGGCCCTCGTTTGTTGAAGGGTTTGGGGTTGTTGTTTTTTTCCCTTCGGGGTTGGCGAGGGCCCGGTTTTTTTTTTTCCCCCATCCCCGCCCCCACATCGGGCCAGACGCGGGGTTTTTTTTTTTGTGGGGAGAAACCCCTCTGCCGAACTCCCGAGCAGCGGGTGGGGGAAAGAGGGGCCCCTGGTCCCCCCACCCCCCTCCCCCCGCGCCGGGAGCCCCGTTTTTTTTTTTTTTTTTTTTTTTCTTTTGGGGCTGGGCGGGGGACGCCCTGTTATTTTATTTTTCTTACCGTGGGCGCGGGGGTTGGCGTTTTCCTTCCCCCCGCCCTCCGCGTCTCGTTCCCCCGCCCAGGCTTTTTTTTTTCTTTTTTTTTGCGCGGTATTGGGTCCGGGTGGGGCGCGGGCGGGCCGCCGTGGGTGCTTTTTGGGTTTCCGGCTTCCTGGTTTCCCGCGCCGCTCGTTCGCCCGGGGTGCCCTCGAGCGGGTTTTTTTTTGGAGAGGAATGGGGCCTTGGAATCTTTTTTTTTTTTTTTTCTGGAGTCTTGCCGGTTGAATTAACCGGCAGGCATGTGGGGAGTGTGATTCTTCATATTTCACCTTGTTGTTATCATTTGTACATTTTTCTGAAGTAATTATTTTGAATAGCGTAGAATAATTTCTCGCTGTTCTTCTTTATTTTTTTTTTTTTCTTTTAGCCTTGACCAAAGTCAGTAGGTATATTTATTCTGGATATTTGGTTTTGCAGTCATTCTCTTTGGGATTGGAGTTTTTATGCAGACAAATTTGGTACATTTCGATTCATATTGATATTTTAATTGTTTTTTTTTGTATTGTAGTAATGATTATAATTAAGTTTCTTATTATTATTCTTTATTATTGAGATAAATAGTGATAATATTGTTCTTTATTTATTTTTTTTTTTTTTTTAGAGAATGATGTTTATCACAATGGAGTTTATGGTATTTAAATAAACCAAAGGTAATCAAAATAGTAATATTCTTGAAATCATAAGAGTACAAGGTCGCATTGAAGCTCTGGTTCTTTTTTTTATTTTTATTATCTATATCGGAAATTATTATAATTATTGTAATAATAATAATAATAATAATAATAATAATAATAATAATAATAATTATTATTATTATTATTATTATTATTTCTTGTTCTTTTCGCTCCGTGTGTTTGTGTTTGTGTTTCTTTTATTTTTTCCATTTTTTTATGTAAGGCTCTTATGAGTGGTCTCTTCCCAGCTGAGCAAACTGCGCAAGAAGGAAATGTGACACCACAGCCAAGTGCAAAGATGGTTAAAACTGTTTCTTTCCACCCAAGTGCTAATTGCCAGGTTCCACGAAGTTCATATTCAAAGAATTATTCTAATTTTAGTGAAAGTCTCTGGGATTCTCAAGAGAGTAACTCAGGTTATTTTCACGAAAAAGATGCAGATGTTGATGAAGGCATTCAACAAGGATACTATAAACGTCTATACCGATTTTATGAGCAATATAACCCTCAGAAATTAGATCGTGTAGAAGAGTATCTTGCAGCATACAAAGGTAAAGAGGAACAATTATTTGCGATACTTACCGGGAAATATGGTCCAGAACCAGAAAATAGAGAAGTATACCCTACAAATTCAATTAACGCTAGTGAAAATGCCTCTGTAATGCATTATGTGGGGAAACGGTATAATTTTCCTACTGTTGTAACACCGCAACAAGGAAATACAGATTGTGAAACTCCTTATTGGGGTAATACTACTCTTATTAGTGAACAGGATATTTTGTATTTACTTTCTCATCTTGAAACTAATAATGAGGAACTTCAGAAATGTTATATGGGTTTATTTGCTCAACATCCTATAAATTCATGGAATGGTATGACGTATGTCACACGTGCTGAGGGAGTTGCTCCAAGTGATACACCTTTTCTAGGTCATATATGGGCTGGAAGCCTTGCTAGCAAAAAAGCAATGGTTTATGAAGGAACTTTATATAATAGAGTGGTATTGTACTGTACCGATGAATGTCAACGTCGTGGAGATCACGAACGTTGGAGATTAAATATTTATAGTAGTGACGTAAATTCTCTTCGTCTACTTCGAGTTGTATGGGATCCTGTTGTTTCCCTTGAACCTCTTCCTGTGAGTCGTTCCTCTTTTTCTGTTCATACTTCTTTGGAAGGCGCTTCTTTAATGGGTTCGAGTGCGAGTTGTCCTGGTTTAAGGAGTAATAGTATTGCGGAACCAAAACAACCCGTTATTGCTGTAACCATGGCAAACATTGTAGCATCATTGGAAAGACTTGAAAAAAATATATGTGGTCGTTTGGACGCATTAGACGCAAGAATTTCTTCACTGGAGTCAAGATTAGGTGATACGAATAGCAATGTGTCATCTAATAGTAAAACGTGATTTTTTTTTTTTTTCTGTTTCTTCATACTATATATATATATTATGAGAGCGAGAGAAAAAAAAAAAAATAATAATAATAGCTCTATGTTGCGTTAAAAATTAAGGAACCGATTTAGAAACTATCGGGTTTTTTGTTTTCCTTTTTTCTTTTTAATTGCTTTTATTTATTTACTTCTTTTACCTTTTTTTTTGATTTCCTCTGGATTTCTTTTCGTTTCTCTCTTCTTAATTTTTTTTTTTTTGATTTATTTTGTTAAGAATGAAAGAATTCTAATGCAGGAAGGAGTTCCCAATCGGAAGGTTATAGTTCACCATAAAATGGTGGGGATGCCAATTTTTGACGACCAATTTGTTTGTGACTCCGGTTTAGAACTTTATGCGGTAGTTCAAAAAATTATAAATTCTCATGGTGGAACAACCGGTGAAGGGTTTCGCATGTGGCTTACTCGTGTTGAACCAGGGCTTATTGTTCGAAATTTCCGTCAAACAATTCATGAAGCCTTTTCATTAGAACATGAAGTGCCATTAGGAACATCTGTAATAGGTGAAACTGCTGATTATAATGTAACTGTTTATTATGATTTTGGTTCTCTTGAAACTTCGTGCCCTTTGCTGAAATTACATGTGGGGTGACAATTATCAGGGGAAGCTGTTAAAAAAAAATTTTTTTTTTGCCAATGTACATTTTTATATATCCCTGGAGAAAGGAGATTTTTTATGTTCTTATGTAACGAAATTAGGACTTTATTTATCTCTTTAATTATCTTCTTTTTTTTGTCATACATAAATACGTTCTGTTTTTTTTTTTTTTTAATTTTTTATATGGTTTTCTTTTTTTTTCTGTTTCCTTTTTTCTATTACTCTAATAATTAATAATAATTAATAATAATAAATTTAATAATAGTAATAATAATACCAATAATAACAATAAAAAATTATAGGAATTATTATTATTGTTATTATTATTATTATTATTATTATTATTACCAAACTCTCTTTTAGTCAATGGGAGGGGATGGTCAAGCACTTTCTAACAAGCGAAGAGTTCTTGAAAGTTCAAAGGTATTTGTTACTGCAGACGAGTTGAGAAAAGAAGAAGGAAAAGATTCTGATGCGGTACAATCAATAAAAGAACGGAATGCCCAACGCTGGTCACATTGTACGTTGTCATTGGAGCCGTTTGAAATACCTGTTGTATTTGATCTTTGTGGACGTTTATACTCTAAAAGGATCTTGTTAGATGATATATTGAGAAGAAAACGACATGCAACACCAAAGGAGAAAGACTCAAATAGTGGTGTTTGCATTACTAGGTTGAGTGACGTTTGTGAAATTTCGAACATAGAAGAAGGTGAAAAAGTGGTTATACGGTGTCCTTTAACAGGTTTTGATGCTTCTTATGGACTTCATACATTTGTTGGATTTTGGGGTTGTGGTCATGTTCTTTGTGTCTCTTCTTGTGAGAAATTGATAAAGTCAAATGAGACAAAATTGTTAGATTCTTCTGAAGAACCAGTTGTTATACCATGTCCTTTTTGTGGTGAGGATAGTTTTCCTGTACCTTTGGTACTGGGATCTGAAGATGATGAAGTGGAACAATTCCGACGGCTACGGCCTCTTCAACGCATGTTCACTAAACGAAAACGATCCGAAAAATAATGACGAAAAAAAACATATATATATATATATAAAGATATTTCTCATTTGTGCCGGGGACAGCGAAAAGAGTTTTTTTTTTTTTTTTTAAGAAAGAAAGAGAGAGATATGTGTTATCTACTTATTTTATTTGCTCTTTTTTTTTTTTTTACTTCATTCTTTTTTTTTCATTTATTTTTATTAAAGTCCTACTGAGTAAATAAGAGATGTCACGTACTTGGTGTCCAACATTGACTGATGATACAAAAGTACAATTTCAGGCAATGCATCTCAATGAAAAGGCAGCTAATCCAAGGCTATCTGTGGAATATTATTTAAGGAAAAAAGCAAAAGAGAATGGTGCTGTTGGTTTTGAGTGCGGTGCATCTGCAAAAGAGTTAGGAACAGAAGTAACACGTCGCATTGGTTCTTCTATTCCGAAATTCAGTCCTTATGTTGTGGCTTCTAGGGCTAATATTTCTCAGTGGCAAATACCTGAAACACCTTCCTTAATACCAATTCTTCATGGAAAAATTCCTTTTATTGCAAAAACAGAAGATGAGAATGATATTATGGTGACAGGTGAAATGCCGCTAATTGTACACCACGTTTCCCATATTTGGAAGTCTCATGCGCAACTTGATATTCTCCCCAGTGTACAATTGCCATCAGATCAAACAGTGGAATTTGTTACTCATATAATGCGTACAGAAACCGAACGAAAAAATTACAGTATATCAGAGAGTATGCGAGAAATTATATTGACTTCAGCACCATCTGTTTCAACTTATCTCTCAGATGTATTAAGGGCATTAGTTGCTAATCGTCGCATGATTGGACAACTACGTTATTTGGTCCTTGCTGGAGAGTTTTTAGAAGATATGGATTATTCAGAATTGCAAGAATTCTTTGAAGCAGCTCTCAAACTTCTCGTGTTAGGAGTTCCTTATACTTTTCTTAGTCACGTAGCAGTAAATTTCTTACCTCTGTTAAAAAATTCTATGATAAAAGTTGTAGATCTTGAAGGTAATGATCTAGGGCTTTCAGCTGATGGGAACGATATTATTACTCTACTTACAGAATATCTAAAGGAAAACAAATTTCTTCTTGAGCTTAATCTCAGTTACAACAACATTGGTACAGAAGGTGCACGTCTACTACTAGAAGCTCTTAGTGCATCTGATACAAAAATTACTCCACAAGATCTCCAGACTGGGGAAGATGCTGAGAACGAAGAATATGCTGAGGAAACCCGTTTAGAAGATATTGCTTTCTTTCTTCCAGATACAGATGAAGAAGAAGAGGAAGAAGAAGAGGAGGAAGAGGAGGTGGAAGAAGAAGAAGAAGAAGAAGGTGATAATGGTGAAGGTGACAGTGATAAGAAAAGAAATACTAACGCCAAGAGGAGGGCGGGAGATATACCACATGGTAATCATAATGGTAATGATGATGATGATGATGACGAGGAAGAAGAAGGTGAGGAAGAAGATGAGGAGCAGAAACTGCAAGAGGGTGATGATGATAACGACGAGGGAGATGGAGAAGAAGAAAATGAGGAAGAAGAAAAAGAAGAAGAAGAAGAAGAAGAAGAAGAGGGAGAAGAACGAAAACGTCTTCCACCTCATCTCATTGAGAAATTTCGTCGACTTTTTCGAAGATTGCATCGTGAGGAAAAAAAAGCACGTGTTTTGTGTATTCAGACATATTTAGACGATGCTGATGTACTTGTAAAAGAGCATAGTGCCATAAAGGCAAGGCAGGCTGAAGAGAAACGTCTGAAGATAGAAAACTATTGTCAACGACGGAGCGGATGGTCTCATTTACAAGTATTACGATTACGAGGTAATCCTATAGGTAATGAAGGGGCAACAAGTGCTGCTGATGTGCTTCGCCACGAGATAGTATTAGACGAAGAAGAAATACAACGTATTCAAAATGAACTCATTGATAAGGCGGATAATTTGTTCAACGTACTCTTATCAGAGAGGAAGAAGACTGCGATGGAAGAAGTTTCTGAACGAAAGGGATTATTTTTAGATTATCATACCTCTAGAAAATTACTTAATGAGAGTCTTAGTGTGGAATTGAGTAACGAAAAAAGTTCTGTTATCAAGAAGAAAAAAGCTTCACATTCAAGAAAAAATGATGTTGAAGAAGATGATTCTGATGAAAAGAATGGAGAAAATGAGAATAATAGTGATGATGATGATAGTAATATCAAAGGAGCACCAGTTGTTATCACAGATACAATACCGGATGATGACTTTATAAATATTGCTGACGAGATAGCCGAAGAAGAATCCGCGTTATTGGAGGAAGCCAGAGGTAACTGGGATATGCCCTTTCCTCCAACTAAGCAAGGATTAAAATCTCTTCGTTTGCTTGATCTATGCAGTTGCCACATTGGAAGTCAAGGGGCAAAGTGTATTGGTGAAAAACTTCGTGAGAATAAATCATTAGAAGTTCTCTTATTGCGACACAACACTTTTGCTAGAAAACGTGTTGCACTTCGTTCTGATAAAGAGAGTACAGAAGAAGAAACAGTTTCAGTAAAACGTGTGGATGTGCCGCATTATGTATCACCTGGTTGTATTTCCCTCTTTGCTGCGCTAGAATCAAATACAACGCTTACAGTACTGGATCTCGCCTATAATAGTCTGTATCCGGAAAGTATTCGTTGTCTAGCAAAGTCTCTTGAAACTAACAAGACACTTACTACTCTCTCTCTTGAAGGAAACCTTATGGGATTTAATGAATCACCATATGAAATGGATCCAGCAATCTTAAAAGCCACTGGATACCCAGTAGATGTTAGTATATTTTCAAGACCTTCATGTTTTCTTACCCTATTACAGGCAGTTTTCAAGAGCAATATTACAACACTGTTGTTAGGACATAATGATCTTTATAATTGTTGGTCTAGTGATGAAGCTGAATGGTTAACAAAAGTATCTTGTCGCTTACATGTACTACACTTAAATGGTAATTCTTTAACATTAGAACACATTATGGAATGGGTTGATGCATCTAAAGATATTGAGAGTTTCACTTTAAAAGAATTACAATTGTCACGTAATGACCTAAGTGATGAAAACGGTGGTGTCGCTTTGGCTCGTCTTTTAAATTTGTGTAAAAATACTTTGGAGAATTTGATTCTTGACGAGACACAACTTGGACTATCTGGGGCAACTGCGGCATTTGCATCCTTTATACCCTCTACACTTCAATCGTTGAGTATTAGAAACGCTGGATTGACTCTTGCATCCGCTATTCCTCGTCCTGTATTAGCACCCCTTCACAGGCTTCTCCTATCTGATAACCCTTTCAGCAAAACAGAGTTACTCGACCTGATGGATATACTTCGTGACACCGCATCATCATTGACGCACTTATCAATATGGAGTCGCGAAGTGGATATGGAACTGCAGCTTCCAATTCTTCAAGAAATTATTCGTCAAATGCCACAGTTATTATTCGCCGATTTTGGTATAATATCACGCTTTGATGATGCCGTGGATGCGGAAGATTCACTTGGCCAAATAGAATGCCTTCTAGTAGAGCGACGTCTGGCGCGTCTCCTTGAGAGAGCAGAGGCGTACGCATCATAAAGTGGAGGCGCTATCATGTACACTTAACAAAAAGAAAGAAAAAAAAAAGAAAAAAAAAATAACATACCGCCTTTCTCCCTCATACGATGTATAGTGGCGAGTTTGTAGCTTTGCTCCCGAAAGGGAGAAGAAAAACAAAAAAAAAAAAAAAACCAAAAAAAAAAAAAAGGCAGTCTTTTGGTAAAAAGAAAATATGTAGACTTTCTGGTGTTCTGGTGTCATTGCAGTTAAGGTTTGACTGGATAAAATTTGAGTTTTTCTTTTTCTTTTTTTTAAATCTTATCCCTTTAACACATTGTAATAACTTAATTATAAACACCGTCACATCTAGCAAATAGCGTAAATCAAATAAAAGAAATTATAAAAAAAAAAAAAGAAAGCAATAAAACGCATTATTTTATTAAATATTATCATCTATAATGGATTGCAATTACGATTGTGTGATACTACACAATGGTGTACGAATGCCGCAACTTGGCCTTGGAGTATGGCGGGCTGAGGATGGAGAGGAGACCTCCCGTGCGGTTCGGTGGGCTATTGAGGCTGGTTACCGTCACATTGACACTGCTTCCTTCTACAAGAATGAGGGAGGCGTGGGCCAGGGAATCCGGGACTCTGGTATCCCGCGTGAAAAAGTATGGATTACGACTAAGCTGTGGAATGCAGATCATGGCTATGACAAGGCACTTGCTGCTTTTGATCGTAGCTGTAAGTTACTGGGTGTGAATTACATTGATCTCTACTTGATCCATTGGCCAGGGAAAAGCAAATATGTGGAAACATGGAAAGCACTAGAAAAACTCTACGAAGATAAAAAAGTTCGAGCTATAGGTGTCTCGAATTTTGAGCCACATCATCTCACTGAAATTCTCAAAAATTGCAAAATTCGACCAATGGTAAACCAGGTAGAGCTACATCCTTTAATGCAACAGCATGTAGTACGGAACTTTTGCAAGCAACAAGGTATAATCGTCACTGCTTGGTCTCCACTTGGGAAAGGGGGACGAACTGGAATGCTTGATAATCCTGTATTATGTGAAATTGCCAAGAAACACAATAAGAGCTCAGCACAGGTTGTTATCCGTTGGGACATTCAAATGGGAATTGTAACAATTCCAAAGTCAACAAATCAAAATCGTATTCGAGAAAATTTTAATGTGTGGGACTTTAAACTCACTGAAGAAGAAATGCAGCAGATTGCTAAACTGAATGAAAATAAGCGTATCGGTGGCCACCCTGATGAATTCTTCCCAGATGGGGAATAATAACAAAAATAACAAAAGTAACATTATATATATATATTCCTGGATGTCGTGGTGGAATGAAGACGTTTCTATTTTTTTTTTTTTTTTTAATTCAGCTGTATCTTGTATTTATTTATTCTCTAATCTTTTATGGTTTCGAGAATATTTTTTTCTTTCATATTTTCAAGTAGCATGTGTCTTGCTGTGATTCTTTTTTTTTTTTGTATTTCTGATAAAAGATGAGGCGTATTCACGTGATTTCTTGTGGTATTATGGGCCTTTTGGCGCTTTTCTTTTTAGTCCAATGTATGGATGCTTTCGTCTCTACCGATATTCTGACAAATGATGATGAATTGCAACGTCGCTCACATGCACGTTTGCCTCTTACCAAAGACTATTCGCTTTCTGCAAATTCTTCAGAATCGAGATGCACACGGTTTCTGTACAATGAGTCTACTGGAGCGATAGCAGGTAATGGTCGCGCCATACTGGCATTGCTCCTCACAAGTATGCAATATCATGGTGTAAATAGGTTAAAAGAGACATTACCTACTTGGATGGGAAACTACTTGATGGCACAGGGGAATGTTGATTTTGTACTTTTCTATGCCTATCCTGTAGTAACAGCTAAACAATTGGTCGAGACTTTTGGATTAGTTAAGGCTCAATTGGAACAACTTAATTCTTTTTATAAAGAATATCGTGATCTGCGCACTGATGTTGAAGCAGATATTACACTAACTGCGGAGGAGTGGGATTCACTGGGCGATGGATACTATTATTTGCCAACGACGAAACCTATTTTTGTATTTCGTATTGTACCTGTAAACTTAACTTTTCCTCTTTATATACAAAAAAATTGGTCGTTGCTAGAGGATCCCACATGGCTACGATGTGGATGTCCTCCATTTTGTCCTCTGCACCGATCACCACCTGATTATATTCAAGGTACGAGATGGTATTCTCATGGTATTTTCGATCAACCAATAGTGCAACGTTATAGTTTTTGGGTTAAGTTGGATGTAGATGTAGCTTTTTTTAGAAGTTTGGATAATAATCTTGTACATCTACTTTTGTCAAAGGGTCGTTTGCTTGGACATACGGGTTATACATACAATGGGCGTGGTTGTAGTGACGAACTACAAGATGCTATAAATAAATTTTTGACAAAACACAATATGCAAGGTGTAAGTGCAGGAAAAGATTGGTGGTTATCAGATGATCGAACATACTACACTAATTTTGTAGTGGGTTCTGTAAATTTTTTTCTGCATCCGCAAGTGCGAAGTTTAACAGCGTACCTTAACGAGTACTATAACGGTTTTTTTAAACACCGATGGACCGACCAGAGTCTTTTGCATAAGGTTATGGGCGTTTTCTGTGGACCTGAGGAGTCTGACTTTGCTCTTAATTGGGATAATCTGCGGTGCACCAAAAAACGGACAACCCCAGACGCCGTTTTCTATCACAGTAAACGGAAGAAGAAGATTCGTCCGGGTCGTCCTTGTCGAAACTAGTTATTTTTGCTGACAAGTGGGAATGAGGGAAATGGCAAAAAAGAAAAAAGAATTAGACACGAGCAAATGAACAAACAGAGCAAGGAGACAAAAAGAAAAAAAAAAAATTGGCAGACTGTAAAAAAGTATTTTTTTTTTTTTTTCATCTTCACTTTTCTTTTTTGATTTTTTTTTCTTTATATCAGCTGTTTTCTTATCCCAATCTACTTCAATTATTACCTTTTCTTTTTTGTTTTGTGTTTTATGCTTCTATTCCGTCAGCTGCTAGTATTGCACAAGAATGGCTGACGCCCCAATCGCTCCTGCTGGTGAACAGCGTGGCTTCGGCCGTGGTCGTGGAGGCCGCGGTGGCCGTGGCGGTCGTGGAGGCCGCGGTGGCGCTAACGAGGAAAAGGACTGGGTTCCATGCACAAAGCTGGGTCGCCTGGTGAAGGAGCAGAAGATCACCTCCCTTGAGGAGATCTTTCTCTTCTCGATGCCCATCAAGGAGCACCAGATTGTGGACCAGCTGATCAAGGAGAGTGATCTTCGTGATGAGATGATGCTCATCTTCCCCGTCCAGAAGGCCACATCGGCTGGTCAGCGCACACGCTTCAAGGCGTTCAACGTGGTCGGTGATGGCAACGGACACATTGGTGTCGGCGCTCGTGTCGGCAAGGAGGTGTCACTCGCCATTCGTGCTTCCATGATCGCAGCGAAGCTGAACATCGTCCCCGTGCGCCGTGGTTACTGGGGTAACAAGATTGGTGAGCCACACACGATCCCAATGAAGGTGACCGGTAAGTGCGGTTCTGTCGCCGTCCGTCTCGTCCCTGCGCCACGTGGTACTGGCATTGTTGCGGCACCCGTCCCAAAGAAGATTCTCGAGTTCGCCGGTGTGGAAGACGTGTACACCAGCTCCTGCGGCAAGACCCGCACACGTGGCAACTTCATCATGGCAACCTTCTACGCGCTGCGCAAGACGTACGGTTTCTTGACACCCGACCTCTGGGCAGAGACAGAGGTGTCACGTGACCCCACTGATGAGCACTCAGAGTTTCTCGCCATGGGTGGCAAGATGATCGCCGCGTAATATGGTAGACCGTTTTTTGTAATGGGTTGATGCCAATACTAGCTGCATTTTTATTTATTTATTTATTTTTGTTTTTATGAATTTCTTCGTAAAATCAAGGGAAAGCATGTTTGTTTTTCTTTTTTTCTTTTTGTTATATATATATATATTTTATTAATTGTGTGTTTCGAAAGATTTTTTTTTGCTGTTATATGGCTCACTTGTCTAATTTGGTTTTCTTTTTTTTTTCACTTTCTTTTGTTCTATTTTAGTTGGTATTGTCTTTTCATATGCGGCGGGTTACTTTTTTCTCGTTGAACCGTGGGTCCGTTCGCCATCTCTCTTTTACGGTTAGCGCTGGTGTTGAAGAAGGGAAGGCGACAGAGGCGGTTAAAAAAACTGCTTTTGTAGGTAACATGACACTTCCCGCAGTGGATCTGGCATATCGTATTGTCTGTCCGTCCCTCAAATTTCCTGCTACAAGCACCGGAAAAAAGGTGACGGGTTATCGTGACCCATGTGTTTTCTGGCGAGAGTACTACTCCTTTGATCGTAGTATGCCTTATTATCATCACCTCCCGACAAACGTGATAACGTTTGAGGTTCCAAACGGTTTTCTGACGCGTTTTCCGTTATTTTATCGCCGTCGTGGATTTTTTGTAAATTCGGAAAACCGTGTTTTCAGTAAATCTACGACAGAGAATCGTGGGAGTTCTGGAGAAAACTCTTCAGGAGGAGCCGAGGGAAATAATTCATCTATGCCACCTAGTGGGGACGGCAAACCTTCTTCTTCTTCTGGTACGTCACTTACACTAAAACAGAAACTTGCAGCCTATGGCGGGGGTGGACTATTATTATATCTTATTGTACACAATGTGCTATTGGCCTGTATCTTCTTTTCACTATACTTCCTTCACATTGACTTGGTTGGAATTGCGCGTTCATATGGGTTTAGTATCAGGAGTGATAAGGTGACATCTGATACTCTTGATGATGCTAATATTACATCTACTGAAAAGAAGTATCCATCGTTTTGGGCTACCCTGGGAATTTCAATTGTGTTGAATAAACTATTAGTCCCAATAGAGTTAGCAGTTACACTTATGATGGCACCTGTTCTCGTTCCCCGTCTGCAACCGTTTGCATCAAGGGTTATTCCACGCATTAAATCTATGATAAATAGTCGTAAGGCAGAATAAAAAGTTGGATGAGATAAAAGTGAGAATATCATTGGTCTTTTCTTTTGGTATATTATACTCTTTAACCGCTTCGTAATGTGGAAGAGGATAATTTATTTAAAGTGCTTCTGCAGTATTTGTATATTTTCCTACTTCTCTGCCATGTGAGCGGGTTTGTGCGTGTGTATGTGTGCCTTAACTAGGTTTGTAGAGTGTATGCTGTGACTACTAGTCGGCTGGTGTGGATGTGTGTATATATGTTTTCTAGTTGTTCTTGCTTTGGTGTTTTTTTTTTTTTT